CATAAATCATGAGTGTCATAAGAGGTGACTACAATGTACATCAAAATGGTAAACAATACCGACAGGTTGGTAGTAAGACACATAGGCAACAGTTAGGCAACTTTATTCCGAAACGTTTCTCCTACACAGTAGGCTTCTTCAGTCAAATACAGAAAGTAGGCAGGAACAGTAGAGATGTGAAGACGATGTAATCAGTCCATCACCCTTGAAGTCTCCGCACTGTCGCTTGATCTTCAGATAGTTCCTGACTATGGAACTGAACTTCTCCAGGCCGAGGGACTGACAACCTCAAATTCTAAGACTTCAAGGGTGATGGACTGATTACATCGTCTTCACATCTCTACTGTTCCTGCCTACTTTCTGTATTCGACTGAAGAAGCCTACTGTGTAGGCGAAACGTTTCGGAATAAAGTTGCCTAAATGTTGCCTATGTGTCTTACTACCAGGTGACTACAATGCTGGGAGCAAGGGGCTAGTAACCCCTTCTCCTGTATACATTACTAAATTTAAAAGAGAGACTTTCATTTTTCTTTTTGGTCATCCTGCCTCTGTGGGATACGGCCAGTTTGTTGAAAAAAATAATACAAATATTAGAAAAGCTGCAGGATTTAGTCTACAGGAGGAGTCTAATTAATGGGCATTGATATTTAACTTCGGTAAAAGCAAGGTTATGAAATGGGAGAAAAGGAAAAAGGAAACCAGAGAGTACTGCTAGCTATGAAAACAATGACAGAAGATATAGAAATAATCTTTCTTTCTTTCTTTCTTTCAACACACCGGCTGCATCCCACTGAGGCGGGGTGGCCCAAAAGGAAAAACGAAAGTTTCTCCTTTTACATTTAGTAATATATACAGGAGAAGAGGTTACTAGCCCCTTGCTCCCGGCATTTTAGTCGCCTCTTACAACACGCATGGCTTACGGAGGAATAATTCTGTTCCACTTCCCCATGGAGGTAAGAGGAAATAAACAAGAACAAGGAAGAAAATAGAAGAAAACCCAGATGGGTGAATAAATATGTTTGTACATGTATGTGTAGTGTGACCTAAGTGTAAGTAGAAGTAGCAAGACATACCTGAAATCTTGCATGTTTATGAGACAGAAAAAAGGACACCAGCAATCCTACCATCATGTAAAACAATTACAGGCTTCCGTTTTACACTCGCTTGGCAGGACAGTAGTACCTCCCTGGGCAGTTGCTGTCTACCAACCTACTACCTAGAATAGAAATAATCATTACCCAAAAATCTGTTCCATGTAAGTAGACAAACAATAATGTGGGCAGAGGAAAGGTTATTGATATGCTTTGAGCATTGAATAGAGAATGAAACAGAATAGCATGAAGAATTGTATAAATCTGTGATGGAAGGAAGAAGGGATAGTGTTGTTTGAAGAAGGATTGGAGATATTATATGAAGATTGTTTTAAGCATTAGGGGCTTGAGCATCCAACAGGTCTGTGGAAGCATGTTAGATTGGAGTGAATAGAGACACATGTGTCTTTAGATTTGATGTGTTGGAGTATGAGCAAAGGAATATTTATGAAGGGACTCAGGGAAGCCAGTTTGTTGGACTTGATTCAGGAAGGTTGGAAGTACCGTGCCTGCACTATGAAGGACAGGTGAGAATGTTGTAGTTCAGAGGCTCATTTGAAATGTGATGTCTGCAGACATCTGACAAGACAGCTGTTGAATGAATGGTTGTGAATATTTCCTTATTGTGGGTCACCCTACCTTGGTGGGATGCAGCGAATGCTCATTATCTTGTACCTAAGACAATTTCTTGAATATAAAACACTAGTGTAGAATCCTTATCTTATGAGACAAGGCAAACCTTTAGATACAGAAAAACATCTAGATTGGTGCCAGAGTTGAAGGAGATGGGCTATGAGGAAATGCCTATATCTGGACAAACTACACACACAATACTCAGGTACAGACATGACTGACTGGAACACAAGGACCTAAATAAATGAGAAACAATGATGTATGAACATACATTTTCAACATAAGAATGGTAAAGTTGATTATTTAGCTAGTGAGAGTAAACGAGATTTCATAGAGGGTTCAGTTAAGAGATTGGAAATAAAGTAGAGATCATTCAAATAGGTGATTCCTCAAAGGTGCTTGAAAAATAGTTCCCCATGCATCAAAGGTTGCTGAGTTATTACAAGTACAGTGGAACCTCAGTTTTCGACCTTAATCTGCTCTAGAAGGTCATTCTAAAACCGAAACGTGCTGAAACTGAATCGATATTTCCCATAAGAAATAATGTAAATACAGTTACAGTGGAACCCCGAGTTTCGGCCACCCTGCGTATTGGCCGCCTATAGTTTCGACTGCTTTTTTCGGCTATATTTTGTACTGAGTTTTGGCCTGTGCCCTGTGTTTCAGCTGGCGTACCAGACCTGTCTGCCTACCCGTGCATGCGTCATGAGCCAATCTAGCTTTGTTTATCCTTGAGTGAACATTATCCTGCGTGCTCATCCAAACATTTCACCCATTTCTGCCGTTTGGTAAAGAAAGTGAGAAACACAATAGAATTGAAGAAAAAAAATTGTAACAAAGTACCAAAGTGGAGGAGGAAGAGAGAGGGGAGAATGTGCCTTCTTCAGTGATACTACGATATGTACGATACTAGAGCAGCACGAGTCAATAAAGGCTATAGCGCCAGCCAGTGATAAAGTGTAACATTAACAGTGTAGCAAGTAAGTTAAGCGATTAATTGATAGAAAAAGGGCAGCACGAAACTGACTCCTCCAATGTTGTTGGAGTTATATAGGACGACTGACAACACCGCCATCTCTGCTGCCGCTATCACCACCACTATGTAAGGCTTATTTTTCAGTATCCCTTATACAGCCAACAACATCAACACAGCAACACTCGTTGGTTAGGGAGAGAGACATATGACATATTTTATTCATTCTAGAGCACATATCATGTTTCTATGTTATTAATATTGTTTATTATGTCATATTAGGTGAATTGTGCTAGATAAAAAAGCCGTAGAGTTGATATTAGTGTCATATTGAACGACTATCTTGTCCTGCCTCCAAACAAACTCTCCTGCCTCTCTCATACACCAACAAGAGTTTTCAATAAAGATAAAACTGATTTAAATGTTCATTTATCCATTAAAATTAGTTCTTTATATTATTTCTCATTCTTTTCTGTATGCAAAGCTGTAGTATTTATTCTTTTAAAAAATTGATTTTTCTGAATATTTATGGGTAGAATGGATTGATTGGATTTACATTATTTCTTATGGGAAATATTGCTTCAACTTTAGGCCATTTTGACTTTAGGCCTAACTCCTGGAACGGATTACAGCTGAAACTCGGGGTTCCTCTGTAATACGTTCCAGACACCCAAAAATATTCACGAAAACAAAAAAAAAAAATTTTTAAAGAATGACACTAATATCAACTCAACAGTTTATTTATCTATCACAGTTGATCTGATATGACATAATAAACAATATAAATAACATAGAAACCTGATACACACTCTAGAATTAATAAAATACGTCATTATGTATGTGGCTAGTAGTGGCGGAGGCAGAGAGTTTGTTTGGAGACAGGACAAAATACTCCTTCAATATGACACTAATATCAACTCTATGGCTTATTTATCTATCACAAGTGATCTAATATGACATAATAAACAATATTAATAACACAGAAACATGATATACTCTAGAATGAATAAATATGTCATTACGTATATGGAGTGGTGGTGGTGTTGGGTTTATAAGGTCCACTGAGACCATATGCTATATAGTAGTGGTGGTGGTGGTGTTCTCAGTGGCCCTATATACCTGAAGCAACAACGGAGGAGTTAAGTTTCTTATCGCCATTTTTCTGTCTTTTAACCGCTTAACTTACTTGCTACACTTTATTGCTGGCTGGCGCTTTAGCCTTTATTGACACCTGCTGCTTTAGTCTCATACGTATCGTAGAATCACTGAAGAAGGCACACTCTCTCTCTCTCAGCCCTTTACCACTGGCACTAGGAACTTTCTTTGGGCCTATGGTGGCTTATTTCACAGTCACAATAAACAAGCACAAAAATTGCGAAATGTTTTGGATGAATGCTCACTCAACCAGCGACAGAGCCATACTGAAGCAGCATCCCAGCGGGTGGACGTGTCTGACACATGCGATTTCCAGATCAAGGTCTGATATCCGGAACAAAATTTCACACAAAAACTGGTTCTAAAACCGAATCATCTGATAACTGGGGAGTGTGAAAACCAGGGTTCCACTGTATAAAGAATGTAAATACTATATGTTCAGGGAATGTTGGGAGTAACTGTGCTATTGGCATAAAAATTCCTAACAAGTATGAACATTTCTTCATCCCAAACATATTCAGTGCTATGCTTTCCATTGACCTCAGCATTTTTCCAGTTGGAACCAGCTCATATAGATTTTATTATTATTATTATTATTATTACCACACCAACTGTCTTCTTCCAAGGTAGGGTGACCTGAAAAAGAAGAAATACTTTTACCATCACTCACTCTATCATTGTTATGCCAGAGATGCACCAGTACTATAATTCAGATGCTCCTCCAAACTGCAGATATCCCCACCCCTTCCTTCAGAGTGTGGGCAATGTACTTCCCACCTCCAGGACTCGAGTCCAGCTAACCAGTTTCCCTGAATCCCTTCATAAATGTTACCTTGCTCACACTCCAACAGCAGTCAGGTTTTAAAATCCACTGGCCTCCACTCACTCCTATCTAACACACTTGCACACACCTGCTGGAAGTCCAAGCCTCTTGCCTACAAAAACCATCTTTATTCCTTCCCCCTACAGCCTTTCTTAGTGACCCCTATCTAAATGTATTTTAATAACTTCAGAAATTTCTAAAATAAAATTCACACTAACTGTTTATGCATCTCATGTCATATTATTTTTTGTGATTTTTACAGCATGTACAGTGTTTAACATTATCTCCTATTTAGTTAGTGCATAATATTGAGCTGTTTTTTCAGGTCGCAAGAAAATCCACCGGACCCGAACGACTCATTAACCGTATCAATCGGACGCTCAGATGCAGCAACTATTAACAAGAAGATAAGAGGGAAGAGATGATACTATAAAGTTACTCAGTTAGATTTGTCCTTATATTATGGTATTCTGTCTTTTATTTTGATAGTATCTTTTAATGCTATGATTTTTCTTTTGGTGTACATATTTTTAGTAAAACTTAGCTCCTAATTACTGTATTAAAGAGTGACACTTTATTTTATAAATTGTGATGTTTCATCATATTTACATGTATGTTATGAGTATTTTACTGATATATTAAAAATGTATAGAATAACATCAGATAGTTTTATAACATTGAATTCATCTAATAGATACGAGTAGCTAGCACTCTTGATTTAGTACTGAGAGGCTTTCTGCAAGATCTCAAGATGTGTATAGTTATTACACCAAAGTAAATGAAATGTGATGACTTGTTTTTTAACCTCATCTTGCCATCTTTTGTAACAAATATTAATTTGTTCCTGAAGATGTATTGTACCTCAGAACTCATAATTCAATCCTCAAAGTACAATTTTATTGTAATTCATTCCAAAACCCTGGAAAGTGTAACTTTTACTGTATTTTGGACTTGGTGGTGGTGGGGGAGAGAGCGGAGAGATTACTGTTGGAAGGATAAGCTACCTCTGAAAAGAAAACTGTCCATAGTTGTTTGTTTCTATTGCTTGCTTTTGAGGTTCTTAAAAAGAGAGAGAACATTATCTTCAAAAACAGAGGAAGTGAACTCAGTTTTGTCAGTGTCTGGGTACTTATGATTCTTTACACACATTCCCAAAGAATAAACAATTGAATTTCTGCAGTTGTTATCTTATGGGCATCTTCCTCTGCTTTCTTCCCACTGTCCTCATCCATCTTCTATAATTCTTGGAGCTTCACTGTTGTCAACTCTCTGTGGTCCACATCCTCATCAACCTCCAGCCCATTGCCTCACAAAGAGTGAGTCTAGATCCAGGTTTACATCCTCCTCAATCTCAAATTCTTTCAAATCATAGGTGACTGAAGGCCACAAGTTCTTCAAGGCTGCATTGAGGCACCAAGTGGAAACTAAATTCCTCCCGCCCCCACTCCTTTCCACGGATCCTCCACCACCCAGCCAAGAATCCCACCCCTAGGCCCCCCTCCTTGCACCCTCACCTTCTTTCCACAGATCCCCACCCCACCGCACAGCCTCCACCCTCCTGTCATCCCTACCCTCTACCCAAGTATAACCACTATCCAGCCCCCCACCTACCAGTCACCCCACCTCCTAGCCCACACATAAAAACCCATCACCCACCCCACCTCCCACCCCACATAAAAACCCACCACCCATCACATACACCTGCCCAAGAGCGATCATGGCCAGGAATAGTCTGTTGTATATGTGAACAAAAATTTGGGAGAAATATGAGGGGCATTGATTGTGAAATATGTGGTAAAACATTCCATATACCATGTACAAAGCTTCATGCAACCATGACAAATGACCTAAAAGAAGACCAGTAGCCCATACCTCTGACATCATAAAAATCTTCGAAAGAGTGATGAGAAGGCAGATTACAAATTTCATGGACCAGCATATTAATGAGTGTACTGTATATGCATTTTATCGCTCTAGGGAGCTTAATGTTGTAATAGGTGTAAGTGGCCAGGCAGGATGCCATACCTCCCACACGACTTTCTACAGATAAATACTTTTAACCTCTCACCCTACATTAAGACCATTAAGACTACATAGAGGTATGGGTGTTTGTGGGAAGCAATCAGGCTGCAGCGTTAGGGTTAAAAACAGCAGTTATTACCGGGATACCTCTGGGATATGTTTAAAAGACAGTATTCAAAATAAGTTACTAGTAATGGCAAATTAGTTGATCAACAAACAAAGAGAGATAGTAGAGGGCAATGAGTGACTAGCTCCCTTAAGGTTTACTGTACAAATAATAGGAGTCTAAGAAATAAGATAGATGAGCTAAGATTACTTGCAAGTGTAGGTAATATAGATATTATTGGTATAACAGAGACCTGGTTCAACCTGAAAGATAGAGAAATGCCTTCTGAATGCAACATACAGGGTTATAAGCTATTCCACACTGATAGGGTCAACAGGAAGGGTGGTGGTATGGCAATGTATGTCAGAGAAAATTTAAATTGTTGTATTAGACATGATATAAGATTAGAAACATCAAACACAGAATCTGTTTGGCTACAGTTTCTCGAGGGATGTGACAGATTCATTTTGGGTGTGATTTATAGGCCCCCAAACCTTGATAGGGAGGGCAGTGAGCTGTTATGGGACGAAATTCATAATGCATCTAGATATGAAAATGTTGTGATAATGGGACTGATGAAGCCACTGTGTGGCGAAACATTTCCTCAATAAAGATACCCAAGAGTTACATATGTGTCTAATTTATCAACATGTCGGTTCTCTGAACCATTCATCTACAAATCTGTCAGACACTGCAACTTCTTGGGATCTTAATACTTAGGAATTCTTCGCTTTCCTAATTCTTGGGCACAACCTACTTCCACATTGAACAAATGTGACACGACCTATGACTGCTGCACCTCTCCTGCCATACGGTTTATAAGCTGCTTTCCGCTGATATGCCGTATTCTATTCAAGATTGATGGACTGAACACATCGACTCGAGGTTGAGGGACTGATTACCTCATTCTCCTCCTGTTCTTCAAGTTTCTCCTTCGTATGGACTGATGAAGCCACTGTGTGGCGAAACGTTTCCTCAATAAAGATACCCAAGAGTTACATATGTGTCTAATTTATCAACTTTAGACAAATTGATTGGAAGAATGTGAAAGGAAATCTTGAGTCTAGTGACTTTCTTGATACGGTTCAGGATTGCTTTTTAGAACAGGTTGTGACGGAACGAACTAGAGGAAACAATCTGCTTGACTTGGTTCTTGCCAACAAAGATTCACTAATTAATAATCTTGAGGTTAATGATGAGCTTGGGGAAAGTGATCACAAATCACTTAGTTTCAATATTACCCAGATAACTGCAATCAAATCTATGTCCCAGATTTTCACTTGGCCGACTTCATGGGACTGAAAAATTACCTGGGTGGGCTAAATTGGGATGTCCTGACTATGGGTCAGGTAGGTGATCTTGGTTGCCAATATGACGTTTTTCAGAGCATAGCTCTAGCTGCCCAGACAACTTTTGTTCTGAGTATGGAAATTAGATCTAACAAAAATGATCCCAAATGGATGAACAATAGATTAAAACATCTCATTGGTCAAAAGAGAGGCATATATAGGCATATCAAAAGAGGGCATGGGCAGTTAAGAAATCAATATATTCAATTAAAGAGAGAAATAAATATAGGAATAAGAAAAGCAAAAAGGAATTGAGGCTAAGGTCACAAGGGATTCAAAGACTAACCCAAAAGGGTTCTTTCAGGTATACAGAAGTAAGGTTAGGGACAAGAGTGGCCCACTTAAGAGTAAATCTGGTCAGATCACTGACAGTGATAAGGATGTGTGTGAAATTCTAAATACCTACTTCCTCTCAGTTTTCACCCAGGAAAATACTAGCTATCTTCCTGAAATAATAGATTATGTTGAATAGGATGATGATGGTAAAACATTGGTTATAAATACCGACAAGTTGGTTTAGAAAGACACGTAAGCAAACACTATGACATATTTATTAGAAAACGTTTCGGTCCTGGGACCTTGATCACTTCTAACATACAGAGGTAGAAAGACATTATATATATAGGTGGAGAGTGAGGTGTGACGCACGTGACCTGAGGAATGTCATAAGAACATAATGGAGGAACACTGTAGAAGGCCTACTGGCCCATGCGAGGCAGGTCCTTATCAAAACAACCTCTACCTATGATGACAAACTTCTCTTCAAAGTGTATAGAAAACCTACCAACAAGGACGATCTTATACACTTTTATTCACACCAAGACACACACCCGCACTAAGAGAGGAGTCCTCATTGGCTTTTTCTTGAGAGCTCTTCGCATCTCTAGCCCTTGTTTTCTAGAAGAAGAATGCACTTACATAACACAAGCCTTTACACGTCTTCAGTTCCCATCTTTCTTCATCCGAGATTGCAGACTCAAGGCACAAGCTATCCTCAACAAACTGCCCATGGAACAGCCCCCTAAGCAGTTCATAGTACTCCCATGTGGTGATGTTGCCACGAATACTCGCCGGGCACTTTTGTGAGTAACATCAACATTTCCACCATAAACACATCATCTATCAAAGACCTCACTACGAAACGCAGCCCCACACCTCTAACTTCTACAGGAGGCGTCTACACTATCCCCTGTGGGTTCTGTCCCAAGAAATATGTAGGCGAGACAGGCAGAGATCTTGCAGTCCGCCTGAATGAGCATTGAAATGTGTCTAACAGAGACGATGTAAGGTACGCCTGTGTCCTCCACAGAGACTCCACGGGGCATTTGATGAACTGGAATGAGGCACAACTCGTTCTCACTGAACCAGACCTCAGACGCCGATGGTGCCTAGAAGCCTCACTAATCGCCGTCACCGACACTATAGAACACAACACTGGAAACTACAAAATTTGAAAAACATTGGCATACGTGATACTTAAGCACCTCCAACCCAACAACACAGGAGTCACATGATTTCATCGTCTACCCGTCCTCATCATAAGTAGAGGTTGTTTTGATAAGGGCCTGCCTCGCATGGGCCAGTAGGCCGCCTACAGTATTCCTCCATTCTTATGTTCTTATGACATTCCTCAGGTCACGTGCGTCACACCTCACTCTCCACCTATATAAACATGTCTTTCTACCTCTGTATGTTAGAAGTGTTCAAGGTCCCAGGACCAAAACGTTTTCTAATATGTCAATGTTTGCTTACGTGTCTTTCTAAACCAGGATGATGATAAACTATGTACGATTGCCATAACTAGTGACATGGTCCTCAGGCAAATAAAGAAACTAAAACCTAACAAATCCCCAGGCCCTGATGAACTGTTTGCAAGGGTGTTAAAGAAATATAAAGAGGAACTTAGCATACCTTTGGCTAATCTTTTTAACATATCACTACAAACTGGCATAGTGCCTGATAAGTGGAAAATGACAAACGTAATACCTATTTACAAGGCAGGTGACAGGCCCTTGGCTTCGAACTATAGACCAATAAGCCTTGCCTCCATAGTGGGAAAATTTATGGAATCAATAATTTCCGAAGCAATTTGTAGCCATCTTGACAGGCACAGATTGATTAATGAATCTCAACATGGTTTTACAAAGGGGCGTTCCTGTCTTACGAATTTACTAACTTTTTTTCACTAAGGTGTTTGAGGAGGTAGATCATGGTAATGAATATGATATTGTGTATATGGACTTCAGTAAGGCTTTCGATAGAGTTCCACACCAGAGGCTATTGAGGAAACTTAAGGCACACGGAATAGGAGGAGA